TTTTTTTTTTTTTTTTTGCAATAAAAATGCTGCCGAAAGGATATATATATATATTTGTTTTTGAGCGAGTGAGTGTGTATGTAGCTTTGAGCCTGTCGGTGTCTGTGTCGATTTGTCTGAATAAGTGTGTAGCTTGTGGGCAATAGCTGTATTAATAAAACGACAACTGTCCTACCGGAACAGCGAATATCGTTAGCTGAAAAGCTCAACAGGCCAGAAGAACAGTTTGTGCTTAGTAAAGACAGCAAAATCACTCAACAGCATAGCTGTAGTTTTAAAATTTCTGATCTGTTACATAGCACAATTTTCACCTTATTTCTTCGTTAATGATTATGATGATGATGACTTTGGTTGTGATAATGATGTTGATGTTGCCGATGCTGTTGATAATAATGATATTTAATGATTTCGTCGTTGATTTCAATGAAATGCTGGTTTTTTTTTCACAAAATCTAAAATTTTCTTCAATTTGTTTATTTGACAAAATATTACTAGTTTTTTTTTCTCATCTATACTGCCTTTTTTGGGAACAAACTTTAGTTTCTTTCCTTTATAATTACGGTTTCATTACACTGAAAGAAAGCAATTGGTAGGGAAAAGACAGTGGAGAAATATCAAAAAAAAAAAGGATGCTAAACTGTGATGTTGAAACGTTTCATACAAGCTGCAGTTCTTTTTTGTTTCTTTTTTCTTTTACTAGCTTCCCTTCTTTTGTTTTAAAAGGCGACATGATGACGACGACGACAGCTACAGCAACAAAAGCAAAGAAATGGCAAACAAAAGAAAGGAAAAGAGTATATGATGTGGAAGACTGAAGTTTTTTGTAAACTGAAACAATGAACCAATTTTTTAGTATCAATCAGTCTTAGGTGCCAATAGCTTTCGCGCTTCTTGACTTGAATTGCGCAGCAGAAGAAAACTGAAAAATTCTTTGAAAAATTCTGTTTACTAATACTGTCGTATGCTTTTTTGTATACGTGTGTGGAATATCGGTCAGTGGTTGCTGAGTATTTGATGGTCAAATATATCCGTAGTTGTTCATCGGATTGTTTATTTGAATACGCGATAAAAAAAAAAGTTTTCGTTTGAATTCTTTTTTCTATTTCTTCGCTACTGTTCGCCCACTGATTATTGTATTCGGTGCAGAGCAACGATAAAAAAGAGTATAGTTAACAATTCTTCATTTCTCCTATCTCTTCTTTCTTTTTAGGTAATATTAGACAGAATTAATTTGCATTGGTTTTTGTTGAGGAAGACCTCGTTTGAAAAATTAGAAGTAAATAGGAAAGCCAAGGCTATTGTTTGCTGAAATTTTTTAATTTTTGGTTTTTCGCTTGTAGTTTTTAACTTTCAGAAGGTTGTTTAAGAGCGTTTTTTTCTTCTTTTTCGTACTGATACCGTTTTTTCCGCCTTCTTTATCATTTGTTCCCCTAGTCGTGTTTAGCCAGATTTTTATCCTTGCCTTTTTTTACTGTTTCTTAGATGGTGTTGACTGAGAATGAAAAATTACTGAGCTGATTGAGTGATTGATATCGAAGGTTTACATCTAAAAGGCAGATTTATCATTTTGTTTGTTTTTTTTTTTTTGTTTCTGGAGCAATTCGTTGCAGCTTATTTTGACTTTTTTGGTAGGCCAATGAAAATATTTTAATTTTTTTCTAGAAATAGAGAGAACCGATGGTTATTTTTTTAGAGTAAATATAGGAATATTACTGAAAATAAAAAAATGAGATGAAAGCAGTAAAATTTCACTAATTTTTTTTTTGTTTATGTTGAAACAATGTTTTTTTCTGCATTCTTATTTTGTGGTAGTTATTGTTTGTTATTTCGGATGTAATTTGGTACTTTTAAACGTGTTTTGTGATTTGTGGTGTTTAGCAGTTTTTGCCACTGACTTTCTGGTGCTGGGAGTTTGGGGCTGTTAAGATATCGGTGTTGTTGTTGTTGTTGGTGGTGGCGGTGGTGGTGGCTGGTATGATAATGATTTTCTTTATTAAGCTTTGACGTATTTGAAAAGATGAGCGAACTAGAGGAAGACGACGAAGAAAAAAAAAGACGAAAAACACGGGAGGATATTGAAATGATGAATAAACTTGAATTTTTTAGTGATTTTTCAAGTTATCTTTATTGAATTAATTGAATCGTATCCGCTTGGTATCAATGAAATAAATCTTTGACCGTTTAGCATCAACTACAAATGTGTTTGCTATTATTTTAACTGGATTTGCTCCTACTGTTGCATTCAGTGCTTTTTTTGCTAATTTTTTTTACTTTTATTAATTGCATTAAATTTATTTTATACTGCTTTGAATGGCGTTAAAGAGTACTGTAGTAAAATTTTTTTGCCGTCATTATTAATATTTTTGATTTTCTGCAGAATGATTGTTCAAATGTAACTGTAATCGTGAATTTAGAAGTGATAAGGTCAAAAGCTGGGGCAGGAAGAAAGAACAAGGAATAAGTAAATTAACAAATAATTTAAAAGTCTATGGAATTGAAAGGATCATTTAGTTGTTGTTGTTGTTGTTGTCGTTGTTGTTGTTGTTGCTGTTGCTGTTGCTGGTGCTGGTGCTGTTGTTGCCGTTGTTTTTGCTGTAGCTGTTGCTGCTGTTACAATCTGAAGCGTTTGCCTGCTCCTTATTACGTCAAAGGTTTGTGTGGCTTTAAAGGTGAAGGAGTGTCATTGTTAACAGCAAAGTGATGATGCTTTTGTGTTTCGTCAAATTACTGTATGGTGCGTTGTATTTTTTGTTGTAACAAAGAAAAAAAAAATAAGAACTGAAAAGAAAGATAAAAAACAAAGAAATGTCTAAGAAAAACGTCAATTTTTGTTGCTAAATCCTACACAGGTTTTTCTCTCTAATTTTTTAAACTTTAAATTGTTCACTGTTTTGTGTTTCTTTATTTATTACATCTGAAAATTCAGTACTAATTTATATAATGAGGTGAACTCAAGTAATGGTGGATTTGAGTCGCTAATTTTTCCCAAAAGATAGACAATTGCAAAAAAATTTACTGCTGTCTCTGCTTATAATTACTACGTGCAAAAATGGTTCCCGGATTCACACTTAAGTAAATAGTGTATTTATGCCATTTTTCTACAACTTTCTTTTTGCTTTATTTTGATTTTCAAAGCAAAATAAAAGGAAAACAGAACAAAACAAAGTTTGATGAATGTTTTAACATTAGTGAAGCTCTCTATTAAATTGTTAAAATCTCAGTCTTTTCCTAAGTATTTTTTTCCTTTATCTTTTTCTCTTCTTGTTAAAAGATCAGTTTCAAGTTTATAGAATTATGCGTACAGCGAATCAAACATCAGTAGAAAAGCTGCTGTTATGCCTTTACTTCTCTTATTCTGTTTACAGGAATTATACTGATCAGTAAAGTCGACAACTGCATGATCTGTACCGAACGTAGTCTACCGCCTTCAAGGCGCAGATGAGTAACAAAGAATGACCGATCGCTTTAAAGAGAGGGTTTTAGTCTTTTTCCTTTCTTGAATCTTTTGTCTCAGTTTAAAAAGATAAAGTTTTTCTTAGGTTTACTGAACACGAACAGTAATTAGTATTTTTTAGTAAGTTCTGAAATGTTTTTTTTTTGTTATTTTTAGGAAGGTTATCTGTCTGATGAATTTGAGCAAAGATCATTCGGAACACATTTGCGATCGGTTTCACCACATCCACATAGCGCTGGGTCAAATTCTCCACGACGATCTAGTCGATCTCCATTACCAACTAAAGTGTAAGTTTATAGATTCATCGTCGTCATCTTGTTAACCAAAGCAAGAAATCAAAAAAGTGGCTGTTCTAAGCAGCAGTATAATAACTTTTAGAAGCGATGATGTGTCAACTTTAACTGGTAATTATGCAGAATATTATGTTGATTTGTGGAATTTCACGTATGATTACAAGAAGAAGATTAAAAGATCAATTTTTAGAGTTGATCAAACACCTCAGACACCAACTATACGGGATTCAAGACCGGATATCACAGCTTGGCCAACTCCTCCCGGTTCACAAGCCATTCTAAAACGTGATAACTCCCCCCTGGAAGAACAGTCAAAGTTCATGACTATGCTTAAAGTTGCAACTGGTTCGTCAGGTGATCAAATACCTTTCATAAATAGTTAGTGCCTTTAATTGTTCTTCAAAGACTAACTTTTGTTGAGTGCCTTTATACAATTTTGCAAGCGCAAACAGAATTGATAACAAGCTATTAAATACTGTAACATA